GGGGAAAAGTGGGAACCTCACCCCCCAAATCCAGGCTCAACTCTGCTGCAGATAGGTCCACTATAGGGCATCTGAGGGAACCATCCCTGTCCTTTGGCAAGTTTTTTTCAGAGAAGACAACAGTCTCCTCCTACAAACTGTTCCTTGGGGCCACGGTCACCTTACAGAACTCTGGTCTGTTTGAACAAAGATCAGAAATAACCTAATAGATTTTATGGGTTTATTTGGATAATAAGCAAGTGAGTTAAATTTAGGTTTCTGTTAAAAATAAATCCTCACATGGAAGTGAAAAATTTCCAGAAGGGAAAACACTTTGGATTGAAGATGCTCTTAAAAAAAAAAAAAAAAAAAAGAATCTCAGGACAAAATTTCATGATGGATTGATCTAATTAGTCATTTCAATACCATCCTTGGGTTCAAGGAAATAAGCAAGCATTTTGATTTTCCTGATTCTTGCTACATTGACACACTCACACATGACTTAGGTATACTTCTCTGTAGGGTTCAGGTGAGCTCAAAAGACATTTGCTAAGTCCCTACTAGACATGTTGGCTCAGGCAGGCAGATTAAATTAGTCAGGGTTGTTTTTTAACCCAAAATTATCCCTCAGAAGACAGTGTTACTAAAAACTAGAATCCTTACAAAGACTTTCATATAGTGGCATGTTCTCCTAGTTCCTTTCTTTTTAATAACAAATTACCTTAACTATTGCTGGGTTTAAATGAAGGGCTGACACCTGATGGAATTGGAGGAAGGGAGGGGGAGAGAAAGAGAGATTGATCTAACACAGATTTAGTAAATTCCTAGTGCCATGTCATTGCATTTTTTTTGGTATTAGATGTATTCGATGTTATTTTATTTTATTTTATTTATTTATTTTTTTTAACCTTCAATTTGCACAGGGAGATGTTATTTTAAATAGGCCTTCTGAAGAGTACTTTAAAAGCCAATACAGTGAGATAATTCTGGAGATTACAAACAAATAGCCACAGGGTGTATTTTTAGAGACAATTGTCCCAATATTATATAAATAAATAGGTACTTGTGGCTCATAGTCTTAGAAGGAGAGGACAAAATGGGGCAGAAGCAATAGTTGAAGAGATATTGGCCAAGAATGTTCCAAAACTGATGGAAGACATCAAGCCACATATTCAAGACGTGCTATAAAACCCAAGCAAGATAAAGAAGACCACACCCAGGCACATCTTAAAAACTTCCAAAGAAAAGAAAGACACATTACCTCCAAAGAAGTAACAATTACGCAGACAGAAGATTTTGCAACAGAAATGACAAAAGCCAGAGCATAATTAAATGACATCTTTAAAATGCTGCATGAAAATAACAGCCAACTTAAACTCTATATTCAGCAAAAATATCCCTTAACAATGAAGATGACAAAACATATTTTCAGATGAATAAAAAACTGAATTAACTTATTGCCAGAAGATCCACACTTAACAAAATTCATTGTATCACCTCTCTCTTGGAAACTGAAAGAAGAAACAGCAACAACAAAAACATTAGTAGAGATGGAATATTTCAACAACAATCAACAAACTTGACCTAATTTAAAAAACCCAGCAACTTTACCAAACAACTGCAAAATATACATTATTTTCAAGTACACATAGAACATTTATCACGATTGACCATATGGTGAGCCATAAAGGAAGTCTCGACAAATTTCAGCAGATTGAAAATCTTACTTATATGTCCTCTGACTACAGTGGACTCAAGATAGAAATCAACACAAAAATACAGCTTGAAAATCCCCAAATGTTTGGAAATTAATATAGTTTTACACAATATAGTTTTATATAATTTAGCTGAAGAGCTAAAAAGACACTACAATGGAAATTAAAACAAAATTGTGAACTGAATGCTAAAAAAAGTCTGTCATATCAGAACTTAGGGAGTGAAGGTACAACTATGTTTAGAGGGGAATTTATAGTCTTAAATACATGCCTTGGAAAAGAAAAAAGGCTGAAAACCAATGATTTAAATATTCATATCATGATGCTAGGAAAAGAATAGCAAACCCCCCAAAAAGGAAGAAAGGAAAGAAGAGCAGAAATCAATGATATGAAAATGAGTAATAGATTTCTTTGAAAGGCTAATAAAATTGATATACCATGACAGGAAAGAAGTGAAATCACTGCAGCTCCAACCAGAGTGACCAACTGTCCTGGTTTTCCTGGGACTGTCCTGTGTTTAGCGCAGAAAGGTCCATGCCCAGGAGACCCTTCATTTCCTGGCAAACAGGACATCTGGATACCATAAATCCAACAGCCATTTACTAAGAAGATATTTAAAACAATGTCATGCCAATCAAGTTTGACAATTAAGATGAAATAGACAAATTCTTTGGAAAACACAATTTACCAAAATAGACACAAGAAGAAATAGAAAATCTCAGTAGTCTTATAACTAATATGGAACTTGAACTGATTACTAAGCCCCACCCCCATGAGAAAACTCCAGGACCAAAGGCTTTCACCAGCAGATTTTCCCAAACATTTAAAGGGACCTCCCCCTTCCCCCCCGCAAATATTACACAAGCTCGGAGAGAACAGAAAAAGTGGAAGCACTTCCCAACGGATTTTATGAGGTCATTATAACCTTAATACTAAAATCTGACACAGACATTATGAAAACAGGAAATTACTGGTCAGTGGTATGAAAATAGACCAAGAATGGGCAACCTTTTTCTGCAAACAGCCAGATGGTCAATAGTTCGGGCTTTGCAGGTCACGCTATTCAACTTCACTAGCGCAGTGCACAGGCAGCCGCAGTCAATACGTAATGAATAAGCACAGATGTGACCGTCCAGTGAGACTCCGGGCGTCCAGGCCCGGCGCAGGGGCTCGTGCCTGCAATCCTAGCGCACGGACAAAACAGCCCCTGTCCTGGTGGGGGTCGGGGGGGCACATAAAGGAATGTGCAGGCTGCCACTGCGCAGTTAGCACGGGGGACAGGGACAGGGTGGGGGCAGGAGGGAGGGAGTGTTAGTTGCAGGGCTGGTCCAGGAGCTCTTGCCGGTTGGTGGCATCTAAGCAGACGTCCACATAAAGGGATCCGGTGAGGGAGGCTCCGGGCAGTGCCAGCATGTGAGACAGCGGAGCGGGGGCCACTGGTGCTGTGGGCATGAGCGAGGCGGTTGGCAGGAGCTCTGCAGCGGACCGAACAGAATGCAGCTGGCAGGGAGGCACAAAGCCGCCCGGAGGCTCTTCTGTGGACAGTGGTGGGATCTGACTTCCGTGTTAAAACCGTGGTCCTCGCTGCTGGGTCGAAAACAGACTGGACAGGGTGAGCTGGGCGGTGGCAGAAAGGGCTGTGAGGGGTCCCCACGGGAAGTGGTGCAGGTGTGAGAGGACACAGTGTCACCGAGCAGGAGGGGTCAGCTCTGGACACAGCTGCTGGCAGGGCCGGTGGGGCCTGGTGAGCACGAGGCGTGAGCCAGTGAGCCAGGCGAGGCCGCCGTCCTCCCGAGCAGCTGGTGAGGGTGGGGTGGCGTTTGCTGAGTGGGCAGTGGGGGCTGCGGGGACACCCAGCCCCAGCCCTGCCCCTGGAGCTGGCCGGGTCCTGCTGAGGTGCTGGGCAGTGCCAGCCACCTGGAGTTCATGGGCGTGTCCTGGAGGGGCCGGGTCGGGTGGCCTGGGCGTGTGTGCAGCCTGGAGGAGGGTCCCAGGGCTGCGCTCCGCTCTGGCTGTCGGCGCTGTCAGGGTGGAGGGATGAGGCACCAGAGGCAGGGCTGGGGCCCCTGGAGTGAAAGGGACAGAAGTGTCCATCTGTGTCTGTTTCTTCTGAGGTCACATGAGGTGATGACTGGGATGGCCCTGGTCACTGGGGACCTGGAGCTGTCTTGGGGCTGGGTATATCTTAATCTATATGCTAACAGTGGAATATTATTTAGCCATAAAAAGTGGTGGAGATCTGATACCACAAGTATGAACCCTGAAGACATTATGCAAAGAGAAAGAAGCAAGGCACAAAAGGACAAATATTTCATGATTCCATTTATGTGAATTATCTAGAATAGGCAAATTCATAAAGAAAGTAAATGAGAGGTTACCAGGAGCTGGAGGGAGGGGGGAATGGGGAGTTAATGTTTAATGGGTACAGAGTTTCTGTTTATGGTAGTGAAAATTTTTGGAAATAGCAGTGGTGAGTAGTGTGGCAGGGTGGCCAAGACAATGGACTATGGAGCCAGCTGCCTGGGTTCTCATTCTTGTTCTGCCCCTGACAACAGTGCCCCTGGACAAAATACTCTCTCTGCCTCACTTTCCTATCTGTAGAATGGGAACAATCATGGCACCTACATGATAGCACTATTTGAAGGTAAATGAAAATTAAGTTACACATAAAGTACATACTTAGGATAAGCGGTTGCCTAGCAAAGGTAAGTGCTCCACAGGGTCAGCGACAACTAAAACTACTGTTATTATTATCACCTACGTGATTTATTGGCCCTGTGAGTCTAATCAATAATTCACTCAGCGTCTATCGATGGAATGCTTCCTGTGGGCACTGGGAGGAGGCCGCGTATACAGTTATGGGCAAAGCAAGCTAGTCCTCGTCTTCCTGGGGCCATCTCCTAGAGCAGACAAGCAGGACAACTTTAGATACGCTACTAAGTGAAACAAACGGAAGTCACCGTCAGTGCCAACACTCATGAGGGGCGCTTTAGAGACTTCCATCCAGTCCATACAATGGCCCCGGAGTGGGTACGTTTAGCTTTTACAGATGAAGAGAAGGGACTGCCTTCCTCCAAGCCACAGGCCACCCCCGGTGGGACCAGGCCGACACCACACCTGTAGCCAAACTCCCTGTAACAGAAACCCACTCCCATGGCACCCATCGCCGGAACAGGACTTCCGGCGGAAGCTTTTTCCAGGGGCGGAGCCACCAGCCGCCGCCATTGACCAATCAAAGATCTCCTTTTTGCTAGGCGTGGAGACTTATTCTCCAATCAGCGAGCGACGTCGTTGCTCAGGCAACAGCGTCCTGGAGCGGCCGAAAGGGCTGCGCCTCTGCGGCGCTGCGGCTTGGAGTCCGCGCGCAGGTGTTTGCCCAGCGAGGTAGAGAGTGGGGGCGAGCGCCTGGGTAAGGCGGGCGGGCCTCGTCCCACGGTCCCCGCGTGCGTTCGGGGCGGCCAAGCGCGAGCCCGAGGGCCGAGGAGGGGGCCGGCGGGCAGCTGTGAGGGTCCCACAGCTCTGAGGGTCCCACAGCAGCGCTGCTGCCCACGCCCAGAGACAGGCGGTGATTTCGTTTATTCACTGAGCACGGAGTTTATGGAGAGTCTGTTTGCCTGGCACGTTGAAGGCACTGGGTCAATTGTGAGGAATAGTACGGTCCCATGGAGCTTACGTGATATTTGGGAAAGTCAGACAATAGACAACGTTGAAGGTGGTGACGTCCTCCTCCCTGATGTCTGTGAGGATCAGATGGGAAATGTGTGTGGAAATGCCCTAAGTCTCTCCAGTTTACAAATTTCACTTGTGCTCCACAGCAGTCTTTTGAATATCATTATTAACTCCATCCCGTAAATGAGGATTTGAATCCCACGGTGTGAAGGGGCTTGTCAGAAATCACACAACTAGGAAGTTGAAAAACCAGAATTTAAACCCATTTCTGTCTCATGGCAAAATCTCTGCTCTCTTGTACTCTTCTCTGTCAGCCTGCACATAATTACCCCTGCCTCCCTCAGAAATTTTGTTTGGAAGCACTTTGTGAAATGTACTGTGGTACAGGGCTTAAGACTGTCGTCGGCCAAATCACCCCTTTACTTCCTTTTCCTTCTCTCCTGAAAATGCCTTCCATGATGTCTTGCCCCTATTAAGAAGAGTCTTACTTCACTTACAAGAAGAGTAATTTAAAAATGTTTCTTAAATTGTATATGTGCTCCTTAATGGGTGGACTTCATGGAAATGCTGTAAATAAAGTCTGTTTTCACACATTGCAGTTCCTTCATCTCTGTCTTTTATCCATTGCCTTCAGTTTAGCACACATTTACTCGGCTAAGTTAAGGGGATTTAAATGAAAGTGAATCAGGCACGGCTCCTTTGATTTTAAACAAACATATTTGTTTCCCACCCAAACTTATTGTAAGTTACTTTGAAGACAAGGATTTTATTTTAGTTGTCTGTGCTCTTTCCCTTTCCCCTCTATGTTCATTTTAGTGTTTGGCTCATGGTAGGTGCTCATAGATGTTTGTCAAGAAACGCTTACCTGAGACTTTAAATTTTGATCTCCAATTTTGTTTGCATTTTTCCTGCTCTTTTCCAGATATCCACTTCTCCCCCATGTACAAAGATCTCTACAGCCATGCCATGACCCCTTCAGCTGACAGGCACCTGGAGATGGAAGCAGCTCCACAAGGATGTTCAGTAGCCTGGTGCCTGTCCAGATCAGGAATCTGGTGGGAAGTTACTGGCTGTTAACAAGGCAGTTGCTTTAGTAAATCTTCTCTACAGGTGTGTATTGAGAGTGACTGTTTAAGGTTAGTAGATGCTGAGAGTCACAGAAAGTTTTCCTGCATAACTCCTTTCTTTATCAGCATTGAAAAACAAGATACATAATACAGGTAAGAAACTGAGTGAGGGAAAAAAGGTAACAATCACTTTCTTCCTTTAAATATCACAAATGACCTTAGAATAGTTTGTCTAAAAATACTCCAAATCTAGACTTGCACAGTTAACTCAGTTGGATTCTTGTGATATTTAAATATTAATTCATTTTCAATACAGTACTATCTAGGATAGTACTTTGGAAGAGGATATGTAAAGGGAAGGGACATGTTTGAGAAAACTCTGTGAATAGAGATACATGTGAATATGATACACTTTCACTACTAAAGAGTTTAATTTCCACTTCTTTTGGTTTTGACCTTTCACAACTATTTTGTTTACTTTGTTTTAGGTACCATTTGCTATTTTCTCTCTCTGTTTGTCTGCAGTTCTACTATTTCTACAACAAAAATAACTACTACTACTGGCTGATACTAATTGAACACTTACTATGTCCTGGGCACAGTTTGGAGCTTCACATACTTTTAAAATTTAGTCCCCACAACCTGGCTGTGAAAAAATACTGTTACTAGTCACATTTTGTAGATGAGGCAACAGGGACACAGAGATTAAGGGACTCTACAAAGCTGATAACTGGTAACAAGTGTGGCTTCTTCTTCAGTACTGCCTAATAATAACCTATGTTCTTGGCTAGTACTCTGCAACTCTTAAATATTTATAAGTTCCACCAAGGCTTTGAGATGACTTATAAGAATAATTACAAGATGATAAAATAGAAACATGTAAATCAGGATCATGAGAAATACAGATAGAATAGGAAAGCAACATCAGAGGGAAAGAGAATACTCTGATCATCCATAATGGTTAATAAATTTGGGCTGAAAATTTAGCTGGGAGCTTCTTATCAAATCAAGGAAAAATAAAATAAAATAAGGAAATCAAATTCATTTTTCCAGGCAAATAAGGCCTTTTGATTCCTCTGGAAAAACAAAGCTTTTCTAATACCTAGGTCTAAAAGAAATTTCTCATGGGGCTTGCAAGAGCTGAATGACAGAAGCTTGCAAGAGCTGAATGACAGAAGTGTAGGCCCAGTGTCCTCATGTTCAGGGAAAGAATGTGGACTATTGCATTTGAATTGAATATTTGAAATTGAAGATATCTGAATAGTAACAGTTTCCAGTAACACCTTTTGAATTTTATTTTTCCCTTGGAATTCTGTAAATGGTGTTATCTGGTCCCCTGGGTTGGTTTCAGTCATTTGTTTCCTCATTTATTTAGCACTTGCTATGTGCCAAGTACTGCCTAGGCATCAAAGATGCCACAGCAATGGCCGCCTCACTGTCTTGACACTCCTGGTGCCTCTGCTCTGCCAGTTCCTCCTGCTGAACTTTTTCTGAACTGATTTTTGGGTTGTCCTCCTTTATTGTCATCTGATACTTGAGATGGCACTCAGTACCTTACTGTCACTGTCTACCTGTTTCCTGCCCTATGCTCTGTCTGATTTATCTTTCTTTACATTGCCAGGACCTAAAAATAACAGTTACCAAATAGTGAAGGCTGACTGTGTGCCAGGCACTTTATGTACATTACTTGTGATCCTTCCACAGACTTTAAAGCAGTGACCTTAATCATTGGGTCACTTGTCCCTTGAGAAGCTCTCTAGAAAAATCATCTCACATGCAATTGTGCATTTAACCTCAGGGAGTCTATAGATCTACAAAAGTACACATGTGGACCTTGTCCCTAGATTGTTGGTTAAGAATACTTGCTTTAAAGAGAGGGATTATAATCCTGCCTTGATATCTGTGGGGGTTAGTTTCCAGGACCCCCAAATTCATAGATGCTCAAGTCCCCAATATAAAATGGTATAGTATTTGCATGTAACTTATGTATATCCTCCCACATACTTCAAATCATCTCTAGATTACTTATAATACCTAATATAAATGCTATGCAAATAGCTGTTATACTGTATTATTTAGAGAATAATGACAAGAAAAAAAGTCTGTACATGTTCAGTACAGACACAACCATCCATTTTTCCCAAATATTTCTGATCCATGCTTGGTTGAATGCATAGATTCAGAACCCACAGACTGAATTTCCATTTTTCAAATGAGGAAACTGGGTCAGGAGGAGGTTAATTAACTTACGAGTTTCCATGGCAGATAGAGAAGCCAGTTTGATCCCATGTCTGCTTTTGCTCCAAACCCTTTGTTTTTTCCACTGCCCAAAAGAGTAGATCTTCAGAAAATGACCAATGTGTGTATTGGAGTGTATGGAAGACTATAAAGGGAACTTTATAGTGTATGTGTCCCAAAATATAGCAGAACATCCATCTGATATCAGAATAGACAAGGAGAAGATTTTTCTCAAGTATTTGGATTGCACTGCCAAAATCTTTTATGTTGCTTACAATTTTTTTCCAATTTAGTCAAGTGATGATTCTCCCCGAGATACAGTTCCAACAATTTTTGCTTCTGGTGCCATTTCTGTTTGGCTGTGCATATTTTTTACTCTTGTGTTGAATTATGTTTTCTCTGGATGCCAAGGCAGATGGATGGTACTTTTGTTATGATTCTGATATAAATAGCATGTGTTAAAAACTGGACATCAATACTTTCCTGGCAAATAAACAAATATATCAATGGAATAGCCTTCTAATTGTGTTTTGCTTGTGGTTAAGAAGTGTATTTGATGGTCTGTGACTTGGTGTTTATTTGGAGTGTATTGGTTTTATAATCTTTGCTAATTTTTATCTCACCAAGTTCTGAAGTAATCACATTCATGAACATCTCAGAATTCTCTTAATTTCAAAAACCTAAACCGAGGATGATGCACAGAACTCCTAATGGTGCCTTGGTTGTACTCAGAATGTTGTTTAGCTTTCACAATCAAGGGTAAAATTAGCCCAAGCTTCTTGCCCTTGCTGTCTTAGGTATTGGTAACTGTGGCTCATCAGGAGCAAAGATTAGTGGAGTGCTCCTGCATGCCAGGCCACGCTGAATATAAAAAGTTGAGTGAAGCCCCTTCCACTCAAGGGATTTGCTGTCTATCAGGGGTCAACTGAAAAGTCTGAAAGCAGAGAATCAAAATGAAAACTAAGGTAGGACTAGAGGGATGGATGGGATGGTTGTATTACTTTTATTTCCTTCTTTATATCACCCCCCAATCCCCATCTCCCTCCCCATCCCTGCAGCAAAGTGATGGACTTACAGGTGCATTTTACCTTTTAGTGTTTTTCTTTATTAAATAAAAAAAATTAGCAAAACAAACCTATAAGACTAAGTTGTCGATAAAGTCATGAGTAATTTTGTTTAAAGGCCCCATGAGGAAGGGGCTATACCCTCAAGCTTGAAATATTAATCAAAGTGTGCCAGCTGCAAAACAAGGAAGGAAATTCTGCCATTCAAGTGCTGAGCAGGCCTGGCCCTGTTTAGCTGCCAAGGTCAGATGAGATCAGGCACGTTCAGGGTGGTATGGCCATAGACAGAATGAAGGAAATTCTATCAGGAACATTAACCAGGCTGACACTTGTAAACCTGGCACTCTGGGAGGCTGAGTGGGAGGATCTCTTGAGCTCAGGAGTTTGAGATTGAGCCTGAGCAAGAGCGTGACCCTGTCTCTCCTAAAAATAGAAAAATTAGCAGGGTGTTGGGACATACACCTGTAGTCCCAGCTACTCGGGAGGCTGAGGCAGGAGGATCGCTTCAGCCCAGGAGTTTGAGGCTGCTGTGAGCTACGGTGACATCACTGCACTGTACCCAGGGCAACAGAGCAAGACTCTGTCTCAAAAAGGATTAAAAAAAAAAAAAGCATGAACCAAAACTCCACAAGAAAGTAATGGTATCTGGAAGAGTTGCCTGGGGCCAGGTTGTCAATGATGTGAATGATCTACCCACAGTTTAAGGTTGGAATTTCAGTCTGTGTGTCCTGGAGAAGTATGTTTTTTTTTTTTTAAGTTTTATTTTGAAATAGTTTTAGATTCACATAAAAGTTGCAAAATTAGCACAGAGAGTTCCTGTGTACTCCCCAATTCCCCCAGCGATAATATTTCACAGAATAACCAGTTACCCAAACTGGGAAATTGACACTGGTATGTCAGTGTAACTAAATTCAATATCAACTAAACTAACAACTTTATTCAGATTTCAGCAGTTTTTACATGCACTTATCTTTTTTCTTGGCATATAGTTCTATGAAATTTTAAAACATGTATATGTAATTTCACATTGCATTTTAAAGGAAGGGAGTAACATAACTGTGTGCTTTAAAAAGATAAATCCATACCACAGAAGAGGACAGATCAGTGGGAGCAGTTGGAGACCTGAAAGGGATTTGAGGGGTCATTTCTGTGATCCCGATGAGTGCAGATGATGGGCTGTGACTTCAGGGATGCAGAGAGGCAGAGCATAAAATTAAGAAGTATTCTGCAAGTAACATTGACAATGCTTGCTCACTGATTAGGAAGAGGGCTTGAGGCAGGAGACCACAGGTGAGTGTGCCTTCAATTGCCAAGGTTCAGAAATTGAAGCAAATCTATTCATTCAGTCGTTCATTTTAAACCCCTCTGAATACCAGTCGCTGGCCTAGGATCTGGAAATGTGGTGACAATGTGAATTGGCTGGGCTTTAGTCTTTATGGAACTTAAAGCCTAGCAGGAGACGAGCTTTAACCAAAGACACACCAATAGCTACAGCATCACAAACTGGACTAAGAGCTATGAAGGATGGCAGAAGTCGCAAACGTATGTAAGGGAGATGGACCTTGTGAGTCGAGGAAGTGTCCCTGAGGAAGTGACATTTGAACTGAAATTTTTTTTTTTTTTGAGACACAGTCTCGCTTTGTTGCCCAGGCTAGAATGAGTGCCGTGGCGTCAGCCTCGCTCACAGCAACCTCAATCTCCTGGGCTCAAGCAATCCTACTGCCTCAGCCTCCCGAGTAGCTGGGATTACAGGCATGCGCCACCTTGCCTGGCTAATTTTTTCTATATATATGAGTTGGCCAATTAACTTCTTGCTATTTATAGTAGAGACAGGGTCTTGCTCTTGCTCAGGCTGGTTTTGAACTCCTGACCTCCAGCAATCCGCCTGCCTCAGCCTCCCAGAGTGCTAGGATTACAGGCGTGAGCCACTGCGCCTGGCTGAACTGAAATTCTGGGCAGTGCTTCTCACAGTGGTGTCCGGAAATGCCAACATCTCCTGGGAACTTGTCAACGATGGGAATTCTTAGGTCCCACTCCCCACCCAGAATGGGAGTCAGAATCTAGAATGGGGCTGCAATCTGTTTCCAGCAGGCCCCCCAGTGACAGCAAGTCTGAGAAACACTGAGCGTTAGAATGAGGAGTTCATCAGACAGAGAGGAAAAGGGATAAGTAGTCTGGGTAGAGGGTTACAGCAGATGAAGAGGAAAAAAACCCTATGTGGGAAAGAATACATTCAAGTTACTGCCAAAGGCTAGGGTGGTTGAAGCAGAGGAGTGCCCATACTGCAGGCACGATGACACTGAGGCTTTGGTCCTTATTCTAAGAGCATTGAGAAGCAATTGGAATGTTTGAAGCAAAGAAGTAATACAAGGAGATCACATTTTAAATGACTGTTCTGGTTGTGAGGAAGATAGAGGGGGCACCACAGGAGGGGTGTGTATATGTCTGTGTGTGTGTATATGCATGTATACATGTATGTGTTGGGTTGAGACATAGGGGAGTGATGCTCAATAAAATACCTCCACCTCCACACAATTTGGTGTGGAATTCATGTGATTTGCCTAAAGTTTTCCACACAATTCTCCAGTTGCTGGCAAATCATTGCATTGTTTTGCAAGCTCAGAGGCTCCATTCTTGTGGCTTGATAAGCTGAATGAGAAAATCTGTCTGCCAATCTGTGCTAACCCCATTGCTCTCTTATTTTTCAGAATTCTCGAATTCAGAAATATTTTATCTCAAAGAAAATGAAACGAAATGCCACCAAAACGAACGCCACCAAAGTCAGCCGCACCCTATCAAGCAGTAACAAAGCCAGGTGAGATGCTCTTCTCCCTTGAACGCCTGTGCCTGTCTGTGTGGCTCGTGTACACCAGAAGGCGGCCAGGTCACTGTACTGTGCACGGCTTGAGGTTTCAAGAGAAAGGTGCTTTAAAAGTTGATAATGTTACTATTGCCACTTCTGTCTGGTTTGTGTCAGTTGTTCAGGCAACAAGCATTTACTGAGTGCTGACTTTCGTGCCAAAATTGTCTGGGAGTTCTCATATTAATCATATCAACAAGCATTGCCTTTAACATTTTAACATGGAATGACCTTACTTTGGTTCTCAACATCACCGCAAATATTAGACAACTGCAGTGAATTCAATAAATGATTCAGCCTACTTCACGACAGGGTAACAGGGCCCCAGTGACAATCCAGGCTCTTTTGGAACTAGATTCACATTTCCAGCTATAGGTGGCAGCAGCAGCAAAACTTTGTTACTGAACCCTGAAGCTAGGAAAGCATTGAAACTTTGCTGGAGCCAAGGACTTGCTTGGACTTGGCTGGACTATAAATAGGATGTGTTAAACACTCCTGTCTGCTTGTGAGAGCTGGGAGAGAACGTCATTGTTCCCAGCTCTTACATTTTAAAAGGCTGCCAGCGAGACAGTCTTGAGATGGGAACAACTTTGACAGCAGGCTTGTGGTCAGTTTTTCTGACAACTTGTTTTTTCCCCATTGCCATAGCTGTGGTGGGGAGTCTGAAAATGTTCATTAGGTAGCAGTGAATTTCTGAGACAGCTCCTGAAATTAGATTTCTGTGTCCATGATAGAGAAAGCATATTACAAACAAAGCAGCGTAAGCTCTTTCTTAAGGATCTGTATTCTCAGGCAGCAAGGCATTCATGCTGATATAACTTATTACAAAAATACAATTACTTAATTCAATTTAACTCAACATTCATTATATTTTGGAGGATTATGTACCATGCTCATAATCATTCATGATCCCTGGTCCTGTGACATTAATGGTCTAACAGGGAAGACAGTGAAGATTCATGAGGGTCATAGGTGTTAAGAAAACCTTAATTAAGAAAACCTTACTGATGCTGGTCACTTGGTAGATGGGATAAGAGTGAGGAATCACAGATTATGTGGAAACTTCTACACTGAGTGGTGGGAAAGGGGAGGATCTTAAAATACAGGAGTGGAAAGGCATGTGGGGTGTGTGTGCTATTCTGTGTGTGGTGTGTGTGTCTGTGGGGGTTGAGGGTGTATATATGGGAGTTATGTGTGTGGCAAGGGTGTGTAGTGTGTGTGTGGTGTGTATGTGGTGAGGGTGTGTGTGTGGTTAGGGCATATGATGTGTGTGTGGTTAGGATGTGGTGTGTGTGTAGTGATGGTATATGGTGTGTGTGTGGTTAGGATGTAGTGGGTGTGGTGAGGTTGTATGTGTGACGAGGCTGTGTGGTGTGTGTGTGTGGTTAGGATATGGTGTGTGTGGTGAGATGTGTGGTGTGTGTGGTGAGGGTGTGTGTGTGTGTGTGGTTAGGATGTGGTGTGTGTGGTGATGGTGTGTGGTCTGTGGTTAGGATGTAATGTGTGTGGCGTGTGAGGTAAGGGTGTGTGGTGTGTGTGGTTAGGATGTGATGTGTGTGGCGAGAGTGTGTGGTGTGTGTGGTGAGGGTGTGTGGTGTGTGTGGTTAGTGTGGTGAGGTTGTGGCAGTGAGTGAGGTGTGTGGTGGTGTGAGGTGTGTGTTGTGGTTAGATTGTGGTGTGTGAGAGTGTGGCGTGTAGGTGAGGGTGTGGGTGTGGTGGTGAGGGTTGTGGTGGTGTGGTAAGTGTGTGTTGGTGATGTGTATGAATGATGGTGTGTGGTGTGTGTGTGGTGGTTAGATAGGTCGTTTTGTGGTGTGGTTAGAAATTGCGTGAGGTGAGGGGTATATGGTTTTGTGGTCTTGTGTGGTCAGATGTTGGTGTGGTTGGTTGGCATGTGGTGGTAGAGGGTGTGTGGTGTGTGTTGTTAGGAGTGGTGTGTGAGTAAGGTGTGTGGTGGTGTTGTAGTATGGTGTGGTGAGGTATTTTGTGCTGTGTAGGATGTGGTGTGTGGTGGGTGTGGGTTGTGGGTGTGGTATGGTGTGGTTAGGATGTGGTATATGTGGTGAGGATGGTGGTGTGTGTGTGGTTAGAATGTGGTGTGTGAGGTGAGGGTGTGCGGTGTGCATGGTTTGGATGTGGTGTGTGAGGTGAGGTGTGGTGTGTTTGGTAGAATGTGTTGAGTGGGGTGCGTGTGCATGGTTTGGATGTGGGATGTTGTGGTGAGATGTGCTGCCTGTGTGGTTAGGATTTGTGTGAGGGAGGGTGCGTGTGCATGGTTTGGATGTGGGTGTGAGGTGAGATTGTGTGCCTGTGTGTGATGTGTTAGGAGGTGGTGTGTTGTGGTTGGATGGTATGTGAGTGAGGTATGTCCAGTGGTTGTGGTTAAGATGGTGTTGAGGGAGGGGTGGTGTGTTGTAGGATTGTGTGGAGGTGAGGTGTGGTTGTGGTGTGATTAGGATGTGCGTGAGGTGTGTGGTGGTGTTGTGTTAGAATGTGGTGTGTGCAATGGTGAGGGTGTGGTATGTGGTTAAATGTGTGTAGTGAGGGTGTGGTTGTGTGGTAGGTAATGTGTGTGAGGGAGGTGGGTGTGTGTGAGGATATGGTGAGTGAGGGTGTCAGGTGCATCGGTAGGGGTGGTGTTGAGTAGGTGGTGGTGTGTGGTTAGGATGGTGTTGAGGTGAGGTGTGTGGTGTGGTGGTTAAGATGCTGTTGAGGTGGAGTGGGTATGTGTTAAGATGTTGTAGAGGGGTGTGCGTGTGTGTTGTTAGGATATGGTGTGTGAGGTGAGGGTGTGGTGTGTGTGGTTAGGATATGGTGTATGAGGTGAGGGTGTGCAGTGTGCATGGGTAGGTTATTGGTGTCTGAGTGAGGGTGGGGGGTGTGTGGTTAGGATGTGGTGTGTGAGGTAGGTTAGGGGGTGGTGGGTTAGGATGTGGTGTGTGAGGTGAGGGTGTGGTGTGTGTGTTAGGATGTGTGTGGAGGGTGAGGGTGTGTGTGTGTGTGGTAGGATTGGTAGTGGAGGAGGGTGTGGTGGTGTGGTTAGATTGGTGTGTGAGGTGAGGATTGTTGTGTGGTGTGGGTTAGGATTGGTGTGAGTGAGGGTGAGTGTGTGTGTGTAACATATGTGTGTGTGGTAAGATGTAGTGTTTGTGTGGTTAGATGTGGTGTGGAGGTGGTGGTGTGTTGTGGGTTAGGATGTGTGTGTGAGTGAAGGGTTTGGTGTGTGTGGTTGGATGTGGGAAGGTGAGGGTGTGGTGTGTGTGTGTGGTTAGGATGTGGTGTGTGAGTGAGTGTGGGGGTGTGTTGTTGCATGTGTGTCTGTTGGAGGCGAGTGCTGGGTGGAAACAGTTCCTCTGGAGCTCCAGTTATGTGCTGGGTACTCTGGGGCTAGGGTGCAGTGGTGTAAAAACACTGTTTTATTTCATGGAGCTTATAATCAGTCCATAATTTCCCAAATAAAGTGTAATTGCACTTTGTGGAGAGTGCAGTGCAAGGAAGTGCAGGCTGTGAGAGGCTGCGGGGAGGACTTAGGGTGGTCAGGGAGGCTTCTCCAGAAGGGGAAGGGGTAAGCGGGGCAGAAGGGCCATGGGGCTGTGGGAAGCATGAGGAGGGAGGTGTGAGCAGATCTCATCCTGCCTGGTTGGCCCTGGTAGGCATGTTATATGCAACATGCTGTGACATGCTTATTAAAGACCATTTGAAAAAAAAAATGATCAAAGTCTCTATCATCCCAAAGTAGCTATTTTTGTCACATCTTCTAGCTCCTGACACTATGTGAAAATACATTTTTATATCATTGTATTCATAGTGTATACCTCACTGTGCTTTTTCTGTTGACATTGTCCTGAATGTGTTTTATGTTTCTACATGTTGTTTCTAGTGACCATTTATGACAGTGAGATACTATCTACTATCCACTAAAATATATCTTTGAGAAGTCTGTTGTATTTTGAGTTTGATTTCTGGGTTTATGGACGTGGGTCTTGTGGGGTGTGTGTGTGTGGACTTAAAAATGTATGCTAGGAGAGAAGGAGTGTGCGAGGGTGAGGTTTGGGAGACAGGTGAGAGCTGGGCAGGGCCTGGGAGGCCCTTGGTGGAGGGAGCTGGCCCTCAAACCCGTGGGAATGGCACAGCCTAGCTGTGGAGGTAGGTCAGTTTGGAACCATGGATTTTTCTGCTAAATTGAATTCAAATGACTGGCTAAATTGTTTTTTACGATACCCTATCATTTGGAATATATTTGTAAATCAACTTGCATTCTTATAATTCCTATGTTTAGAATAGCAGACCAGGGGTTGCCAGTGGAGTCTGTCTAAAATATTAAGGCAGTTTGAAACTGAGAAGGGGGAAGTGAGGCTGGGCTTTAGATGTTGATGGCATGAATACTGGAATCCTAATATTTGATTGGAAATTTATGTAGATGACTTGCTTTTAATTTTCTATGTGTTCTCTTGAGTAGGTTGCAGAATTGTTAGACTGTTTTGCAAACCAAAGGTATCCATTCTTGTAGACTGAATCACAGATTTTCTTATTGCCATATCAAATATATGCAAACTTTATCATTCTTATCTGTTTATATAGGAATGCACACAAATCACTCACATACATGTGTACAAATGCACACATACACACATGTAATGGCACAATTGGGCAAAAAGCCTGGGATTACATTCAGGAGAGTTTGAGTCTTAGCTTTGCTATAACTGAGTAAATTTGGCTTTTTCTCTCTGGCATTTAATTTCCCCACCTCTAAAAATATAGATAATGATGTCTAACTTAACAAGGTTGTCACAAGGGTGATGATTAAATGACATAACACCCAGGGCCCAGCAAAATACGTACTCAGTTATTGCTAGCTGAATCTTGTAGAATCACCCACATGTAACATTTGACTTCATTTTGATATAAAGCAGGAATTTTACACATGAGCCTCTTTAAAAAAACAAAACTATAGA